AGACACAAATTTTCTGTCAATTTTTAGACCTTGAGTTTAATATATGTGTAAAGTATTTTTTTTTTCAAAAAATTTCATGGAGATTCGCTATAAGTGATTATTTGAATCGAGGTTCTTTGTTGAGCGTATATCTAATTCAACAAAAAATCAGTGAAATATGCCTAAAAAGTGAGATGTTTTGGTTTCTAGAACAAATTGCGTCGTATTTTGTCCTTTTGAGAGAAGAACGGAAACTGATTTCTTCTGCAAAAACGTTTGCCATTGTTTTACCATGATACCAATTACTCTACTATTTTAAATTCATTCTTCATTCTACAGCTAATAAATCATATAACAAGGTTATAAATTAGATTACAAATTAGATAACGAGCCCGAGCTGTTCTGCAAAAAATATGAAATATCTGCGCAAAAACCCAAAAACCGTCATTTTCTACCATTGTCTTACCAGGTTACCCACAAAGTACCCCTAACCCACTGAAACCTTATTACTTCAATTTTCTGCATGATTAATACAAATAATAATAATAATCATAATAATCATAATCATAATAATTATAATAATCATAATAATCATAATAAATTGTTTTCAAGTGAAGTCATTACGAGAACAGAATTACAAATTAAGAAATCTTATACAAAACGACGTCATTTGAGAGAGCGCCATGAGACTTTATCGACTTTATACCCTATCTGGAAACGTAGCATGAGAAACCGGAAACTTACAGCATCCCAGGCTTCCCCCTCCCCCTAGCAGTCTCCACTCATCTACTGCATACAGCAAACACAGAAAAAAAACAAGACTGCTCGTATCAGGGCGAAGCCGTGAATGTTCCGACTGCCTTTTAAGGTTTATGGAGCAGTAATAACTTTAAAAAATTAATTGAAATAAAATAAAATGATTTTTTTTTTAATTTGAAATTTTTTATGAAAATCATCCCCCCACACGCCATATAAAGTACAAAAGGATAGATTTCGTTCCTTGAATTAAATCAATTATGGCAAATAAGCTTCTTTCAACCAATTTGGAACAATTTCTAAGACGGATTAAATCTCCGCTTACCCGTAAAAAGCTCGAATTATATAGCGCGTTAATTGTCCCAAATTGGTCAAAATGGCCAAAATGGCAACCTTTAAATCTCAGCTTACGCGTTAATAGCGCGAAACATATGGCGCGTGAATTGTTCCAAATTGGCAAAAATGGCAATCTTCAAACCCCCATAACTTTACAAAAAATGATCACAGGTGAAATATCTTTTCAAATTTAGGCTCAAGACAACAATACGTTTTGAATGATATTTAAAAAATTCCGTCAAAAATGGCTAGTTAAAAAGTCGAAATTTGTCTGAAGAAAAAAAAACCCACCCCGAGCACAAATGTTCCGTTACTTTCGTATCGAAAGTCGGGACAAAAAAGCTGCAAGGAAATAATAAATATATGGACCGATTTTCACAACCTCACTTTTGTATGCGTTTCAGTTGAAAAGCTCAGAGGATCCCACTAGATTTTAGCCAGAATCACTTAAAGCTGATATAAGTGTAAGTCACACTCACACAAGATCCGTTAAATATGAGTATGCTTACGGGTGTTTTATTTTTCAAAAAGTTCATCATTAATTCCTGTAGAGAACAACATTATTTTCCAGATGGATCAGGAGCTGTCGAACTCTGGTTCAATGCCAAGTTTTGAAACTTTACTATTTGAACATTAAATTGAGCGATCTTTTTTCTGAGGCTTACATGTTGCATGTATACCCTGGTCGAGATCATAATTTATGTTTTTGAAATTATTATTTTTGAAACTGCGAGCATAACATAGAGTAATTTTTGATTAAAGTTTAGATGTGAAAACTTGGTTTGTGCTGTGAGCTCGATCTAAGTATATACCCTGCATAAATACTTTTTTTTGTACAGAATTGTACAGAATCTAACTTTTTCCATATTTATGTCCGAAACAAAGTATAGTCCCAACTCTATTTATTGTTTCGACGTTCGATACGAAAGTAACGGAATATTAGTGCTCGGGTGGGTTTTTTTTCTTCAGACAAATTTCGACTTTTTAACTAGCCATTTTGACGGAATTTTTTATATCATTCAAAAGGTATTGTTGCCCTGAGCTTAAATTTGAAATGATATTTCACCTGTGATTATTTTTCGTAAAGTTATGGGGGTTTAAAGATTGCCTTTTTGGCCAATTTGGGACAATTAACGCGCGATATATTTCGCGCTATTAACGCGTAAGCGAGATTTAATCCGTCTTAGAAATCGTTCCAAATTGGTTCGAGGAAGCTTATATGCCATAATTAATTTGTTAATAGGAACAAAATCTATCACTTAGTACTCATTATGACGTGTGGGGATATAATTTTTTTTTTAAAATCAACTTTCAGAAAAAAAAATTTCATTTTTTTTATTACATTTAAATTATTTATGTTATTACTGCTCCATAAAACTTCAAAGGCAGTCAGACATTCAGGGCTTCGCCCTGATACGAGCAGTCTTGTCTAATTTTGTTCAAACTTAATTTTTCGACGCCAACTGTGTAATTTTTGAAGCTGATTGCAACAGTTTGTAATCGAAATCCGCAAAAGGTTCAAAACGACGTTGTGTTGGAATCGGCAATGAAATTATTTTTCTTCGACTTCTGGTGTTGCGAAATTCACAAAAATGGCTGAAACATCTTGCTCTAAACCTCCCAAAAACATCAAAGCTTGCGGAATAGGGAAAAAATAAGATGTGCCCAGAACACTTTGTAAAAGCGTTAAAATTGTTTGTTTATGTGTGTAGCCGATTGTGCTTTCATGGAAACCACATTTTATAAGCAGAATCCGCCGCACGTGGTAAGCGCAGTTTGCCGTTTGTAACATAATATGCACAAAATTGAGCAAAAAAAGACCTCCGTGAGAAAGTTGCAACCTGCAATAATCAATTGAGAAGCATTGTTGACCGCAAAACTAGAAGGTTCAGAAGGAACCAATTAAGTTTTCGAGATCTAAGGGTAAAAAAAGATTAAAAGTAATTTTTACCAAATATCAGTTTTCAAATCAACAGTTTCAGTCACGTTTTCATAAGAGAATCAAAATAAAATAGGAAGGTTCGATTTAAAAAAAAACGGGTTTTGTTGCAGAAATTTTGCTTCTTATTTATTCCTATAGCTTGTTTTCAGCTCAAGTATAATAACAAACAATCAGGGGCGGATCTAGGATTTTCTCGAGGGGGGGGGGCGGATTTTCAAAAAACTTTCCAAAATTTTGACGACCTTTTTTTTTTTAGGTCGACCAAATTCATTTTTCGAGCTCCCCCAAAGCACGGTTTTGCCCCTATTTTGGCAAAATTTTTTGCGCCGCAGGGAAAATTTTGAAAAAACAGTCAAAAAAGCCGTTTTGGGGCACTTTTGAAAAATTTTGACAAAAAAATCGCGTTTTTTTTTGGCGCGCGCTCCCCCTCAAAGTTAGTATATATTGGCGCCCAAGGCGCCTTTAGAAAAATTTTAGGGCCGGTCGGCCAAAAATGGATTTCTGAAAAAGTATCAAAGGGGGGACCCTTTGGGTCGGCAGGGGGTCGAATCCCTGAAGAGGGGAGGGCGTCCGCAACCCCCCACCGCCCCCTGCTAAATCCGCACCTGGAAACAATCATTATAAACCATACATTATAATTTTTTATGCCAATTTACATAAGCTATTTGATATGCGAGAAGGTTAGGAAAAACAAAACATAGGTCAAGCACAGTCAAAACGTACCTATATTTGGTCATGAAGTCAAAACATAGCTCAAGCATACCCTAAAATTTCAAAACTTTTAACTTTTTGGATCATACTGAGCTGGCCGATAATTGTTTGAGTTGCGTTTACCGACTTACTAGTTTGTTGCTAGTTTGTTGGCTACGCCGGTTGAAACGAATCTGAGATGAATCAAATAAGTTTTGGAAATTTTTGTTGTTGGTCGAGACGTTCGAACCAAACACATTTCGGTCGAGAAAGTCAAAGCATATCTATGCGGAGTTGAACAAATAAAGTTTTTAAAAAAGACGGTCGAGACTGTCGAGAAGGACAAAACATATCGAAGAACGAATTTTGTCCGAGAAGTCGAAACTTATCTGAACTGGGTCGAAAAAATTCGAACCTTTTTTTTGGGTCGAGACAGTCAAAACACTCCAAATTTTGATCAAGAAAATTGAAACATACCAAAATTTGGTCAAAAAATTGAAATATACCGAAAATTGGTTGAGACGGTTGAAACAAACAGCCTGTTTAGTCGAGAAAGACGAAACATAAATCGAGCACCGCGACCCGGGTTCCAGAGTTCTACAGGCTTGAAACGGTGATTGTATCCAGAACACAGTTTAGGCTCGTTATGAGGTTACTTTTAGGTATTGAGGTACCAAGTGCCCAAGTGCCTACTCTCATGAGCTCAAGAAACTCGATTTTTCATTTGGACAGTTTCGAGACCCTAAATCAGTCGAGCAAGCTTGAAACATATTTGAGCTGCGTTGAGAAAATTGAGCAAATTTTTCCTCAACTTAGATTGATGAACTGCGAACGATTTGAATCAACGGATTGAAACGTTCCTCTGTTTGTTTGAAAAAAAAAGTCGTTCAGCGAGAAGATCGACACAAGAAACTGAAATAAGAGGCTAGAAAAAATTTAATTAGAAAAGTTAAATTTACCAAATTTATAAGTTTTGCAACATAACTACGAAGTTCTGCTAAATGATATCCACAGCCTCTTTTTCGCTCAGCAGCTCAGAGCCAGATAAAATTTAGGTTATTTTTGCTATTTATTTGCTTTATCTGTTTTTCATCAAATTTAACGAATCAATTAGTCTACTCAAACATATTGATCAATTTTTCAATATTCCACGCGCATGAACGTTAAAACAAAAAAAGATATAACTGCGTGTGTTTGTTTTTGAATTTCAAAAAAAAACAGCTCATAATATATTTTCAATTAAAGTAAAATTAATAAACTCAATAATAATTATAACTTAACTGGATTATCTTTACGATAGTAACTTCAGTTATTGATAGATGGCATCATCTTGACGACATCTCTCGTCTGTTTCCGGGTTGGCATAGTAGGCGTGGCTGATGGAGGAGTAGATCTGAAAAAATAACGGAAGGTTAAAATACCCAGTGAATGACAAGGAGACGGGTCTGATCTAAACCGTGGACTTAACAAAAAGCAAAACAAACAAAACGAAGGCGTTTTGGCTGATTATTGAACCAATTTTATGGCAAACGATTAATTGTTTCACAACTTGCTTGCCCTCAAATCGGACGAAATAAGACTAATTTTCCGAAAACGTTTCCTTAAAAAAATCAAAAATCACAATCAAGACTTTTTGTGATGCTTGCGTTTTTGTTGTTTGATTTTAGATAATACATGAGTCCATAAAACAAGCCAACTATTGCAAAACTTTTGAATTTTCGAAAAAAAAGGCTTCATAACCTTGTATAAAAAATGACTATTTTTTGTTATAATACTGTGTGAAATTCAACAGATTAACTGACTTGACATATCTCAATACGTAGTTTGTTGCTGCAATTTCGCTGCCGTTTAGCCTATGGGTTTTCTCATCTGAGAACACCAGTGGTTTTTGTGTTTCAGGGCAAAACACAAATATATAAAGCAAAGCACACAACACAAAGTTGTCTCAATCAGAATTGAACGACCAACATTTTTTGTCAACCCTAGCCCCTAAATCAAATTCAATTGGTACAAAATTTTTAACACAAAATAGCGAAACCGGTATACAAATGTTTTACCGTCTCTGTATGTAGACTAACCGTCTTGTAGCTTTTATCGTCTGCATGTTTTCATCGAATTAGAAAGCTGCACAACTTCGTATACGTAAGATGCTGCAGATATTAGCTGGTAACTTACCAAGTAGTAAGCAATGCCTATTACAGTAACAGTGTAGATTGCGAACACAATTCTGTCGACAATGTTGCCCACAATCTGCCACTCCAGTCTGATAGCCCCTCTGACGTCACCCGTTCGGATGAAGGCCACAAGGTCACACATGCTCGCCTCCATCTGATTGGCCAATACTAGCCCAATGTCGGCCGACTTGTTTATCTGCCATGTGCGCTCATCGTTGTTGTGGTTCATTCTAAGAGGCTTCGAGTCTGAAATAACAAACAGTAAAAAATATCATTTGAACTTCAAACGTTTAAAAAATTGAAAATCATATAAAAGTTTTTTTCTGTTCTTATTGTTCAGCAGTTTTTTTTTGCAATTTCTCGGAAATTGGTCCAAGTTAAAATTCTTGCCGAAAATTAAAATTTTTTGGGGGAGAATATCTTATGCTCGAATTGCGAATTTTAGCCAATCAAATTTTATTTTTTTTACACATTAACCAGCAATTTTACACAATTTTAATCTGCGTTAACAACGAGGATGAAGATCCTAACTTCGGGGGTTTAATTATGGAGGAGGATGTTCAATTGATCTCGTCTAAATTTTGATCTAATAAATAATCCCCTGTACTCCACGCAAATTACCAGTATATGGTCGCTACGAGCATCGCATCCTGTCTGTGATAGAAAAAAAACTGTTTCAAAAGTTTTCAAAAACTGTTTGATAATTTATTTGTTGTTACGACCATTGAAAATGGGGAGGAACTTTGTATTCGGGTGTGTTTTAGTTTCTTTTAGCTTTTTATTTTCCAAGCACCATCAGGTACCACAAATAATGATAGGAGTGGGTTGAGTGATACATCATATTAAAAAATTTTCAAAAATTTTTCCCAGTGTCGAGAAAAACCTTGTGTCGAGCGAAAAACCAATGTCGAGCGAATAAAGCAAGCCAGCAGGCGTACAAGCTGAATTAAACCTAATTTATGATCTTTAAACTTAATTTTAAGCATGTAAGCTTCATTTTTAATATTTAGCTTCGTTCTGGGAACCAAAAATTTTAAAAAATCAAAAACTTTCTGCAAAAATTTTTGAAAAAAAAAGTTTTTCTCTTATTTTTCTACAAAAATTTTGTCAAATTTACCTATATTATTATGACTGTCTAATATGCCTTAAATATATTTTTACATCAGATCCTTTATCACACCAAGCAGAAAAAACTACGATTATTTGGAAAAAAAACTTTCTAAGCCGTAAATTTCTAAAGACTATGGTCGGAATATTCTGGGCTACTTGCAGAGTAACCGGCTATCTATGTTTTTCTCTTACATGGGTCGAATAAAATGTAAAAGCGTAGAGGAACGCATAAAGTTTTAGGTCACGCATACACTCTATAAAACTGAAAACGAATGATTTCTTGATTTCGGCTGCCGCCGCTGCAGTTTTACTTCTTGAGCTCTTGATACCCCGGCCGCTACCCGCAAATTCTAGACAGCCATTGAATGAAAATCTTTCAAAACTTTATTAGCCATATATAAGCCATTAGTAGCAGAGTAGGCTAATATATGACTAATAAATTCTTTCACTCAAATTTCCTCTTCCTTTCACTCAAACGTCATTTTAGTCTGTTTTTTCTCAAAAAATTTCCTTCGGCGCAGAAAAAAATAGGATCCTTCTAGTATTTTCAGAGAGCTCGGAAAATCAAATTGGTCGCCCTAAAAAACGTTCGACAAGTTTTATAAATTTTTTTACCAAAAATAGCTCCCCCCTTGAAAAATTTCGGAGCACGCCACTGGTTAGAGCATTGTCCAACATAATTATCAGAGAACAAAAATCATTTATTGCGGTTCAGTCACATATGAGCAGACGCTTAAAAATTAATGAATCGTTTGTAACTCTACCCCTACTAATCTACTAAACCAAAATAAACTACTTCCGATTTTCGTGACGATTTTCGTGACGATAGTAACTGAATATTTGTGCTTGGGGTGTTTTTTTTTTCGTCAGAAAATGTTGACTTTTTAACTAACATTTTTTGACGGAATTTAGATTATTCAAAAGGTATTGTTGTCTTGAGCTTAAATTTGAAAAGATAATTCACCTGTGATCTTTTTTTGTAAAGTTATGGGGGTTTGAAGATTGCTATTTTGGCCAACAATTTGGGACAATTAATGCGCGGTTTATTTCGCGCTATTGACGCGTAAGCGGTGATTTAATCCGCCTTAGAAATCGTTTCAAATTGGATGAAGGAAGCTTATTTGCCATGATTGATTTGTTACTAGGAGCTTTTGACTTTGTACTTTTCATGGTGTGTGGGGGGATGACTTTCAAAAAACTATTTTTGTTATTGTTTTGTTACCTTTAATTTTTCATGTTATTACTGCTCCATACACCTTAAAAGGCAGTCTGAACATTCAGGGCTTTGCCTTAACACGAGTAGTTTTGTTTCCTGTAGTTTTTTTTAGCATTAGGCGCGTTAATTTTTTAAACCTTAATCATATCGATTCCCCATTCATATAAAACTCCCTTAAAGTCAAAGTTACCTAACTTTTCCGATACACTGATTTGAGATAATTGTTCATCTTCAATATCATAGCCTCTGTTGTTCGACTGTTATTTGAGGCTTTTTTCTCAAGACAAATTTCAACTTTTTAATTAGCGATTGTGTGACGGAACTAAATTTGAGTCATTCAAATATTATTCTTGCCCTGAGCTCAAATTAAAAAGAATAATTTACTGGTGATTATTTTTCGTAAAGTTATGGTGGTCTAAAGATTGCCAATTTAGCCCAATTTGGACAATATGGGACAGTTAACGCCAAATATTTTTTCGCGCTGTTAACGCGTAATTGGTGATTTAATCCGTTTTAGAAACTGTTCCAAATTGATTGAATCAGATTGTTTGTCATAAATTCTACGTCACTAGAGTGACATTCATCACTTGTAATCCATATGGCGTGTGGGGGTAACTTTTTCTTTTTTTTGAAAATTCCATCAAAATTGTAAAAGCAAACACTGCTCCATAGACCTTGAGAAGCAATCGGAACATTCAGGGCTTTGCCTTGATAAGAGCAGTCTTGTTGGAGTTTTTGGTAAAATGGAACAATTTTTTCATGAACTTTCAAACCAAACAAAACTGCTCGTATCAGAGTGAAGCCCTGAATGTTTCAACTGCCTTTTCAGGTCTATAGAGTAGTGTTCGCTTTGAAAAAATTGATGAAGTTAGGGGGAGATTGTTAAGTAGATCCAAGGATCAAAATTTTTATTCATTTTTCCACCTCCTTCAAACAATTGCAAATTGATGCTGTCGATTTTTTGTCGGATTCATACATCAGTTTGCAAGTTAAAATGCCACTCAAAGAAAGAATTGAATTTTGCGAGCAAAGCAAGTTTTGCTTTCTGCCAAAAATAGAATACAATACAATATACATTACTTAGTACTAAAAAGTCTAGACAAAGTTTTGTAAAAAGAGCCAATCTGTCTGTTTTACACAATTGTTGCATGCTAATGTAAGTCTTTAGGCGAACCTTAGCCAAAAGGTTACTAGGCGACACTGCTTAAAAATCTATGCAATGAATAAAACATTTTTATGAAATAGTTAATTGAACTTTTCTGTTAATTCTAATTATCCTAGCTTTTTTGCAGCTCTATAGAGAGAGCTGCAAAAAGTTAGAAAATACAGAACCAATTTACAAAAAAAAACAAATAAAACTATTCAGAAATACTTTCGCTTGAAAAATCTAGATTTTCAGGCAGAATTTAGGTGTCAAGGCTGCCTGAAATGTTTATAATGTATTCAAAAAAATTGTAGAAGTTTAGCAGATAACTTTTTTTTTGGTTGTTTCAACTTTTTGGTATTGATTCTATAGCTAACTCCAGCAACATAATTTTGGGTCAACAAATTTGAATGAAGTTAATTAACCTAAAACTGCTCAGTTTCACTTCTAAAATCAATTTTTCACTCAACTGACATAAAAAAAACAGCGTCAAAAAATCTAATAAACTTAATAACACAGTTTTTTGGCCAAATGCTTTGCTCAAGTTTATCGATATTGCCAACATACTGCACTAACTATACAAAAACATTGACTGACCGCTTGTTGTGGCAGTTGCTTTGATCACGTGATCGTGTCTAAGATTGGAGGAGTGTCTCATGAGTCTGTCTGACATGACCTGACTCGACCTGTGGAGCCTCTCTATTCTCTTTACTACTCGCTTCTCACTAGACAACGAGCTCAACTTCATCGCTTTGTGCATGAAAAAATTGCGCAAAATCTGAAACAACACAAAACAATCAAGAACAGCTATTCTTGTATGTCTAAATCAACAGGTTGAAGGTTCATCAACAATGTACAAAAACACATTATAATATTTTTTTTTCAACCACGTATGAATTTTATCCGTCTGATTTTGGTACTTCGAGGAAATCTCGTTTGGAATCAGTTTGGTAGCATTTTGAGAAAAATTGGTGAGAACGAGCTAATTGGTTTCTTATTTTTCAGGGTATAAATTTTTCATGATTGAGTTATCAGGGAGCAAAAAAAAGTAAATTTTGGCCGTAAAAACTATTTTTTTAAACCAAATCTGTCTTAAAATTATCCAGTTTTGATCCAGATTACTGAAAACAAAATTAATTCCAGATGTTTTACATCATTTGAAAATTTGTGGTACATTTTTTTTCCAGGCGTTTCTTATCATGCGGTATCATAGGGTACCTTATTTTGCGGGAAAAGACCAGAATCCCAACTTTCTCTATTTTTTGGTAGTCGGAACAAAGTTTATGTATCACGGCTAATTGAGATTTGAAATGGAAAGTTTCACGGAAATCTATATAACAACTTAAGTTATAAATCATCTACATTTTTAATGGTTTTTTTTGGTTTTTTTTGGCGGGATCTCTAGAGTATTTTTTGGCTGTATTTGTTTTTTTTCAGCATGTTGTGATTAAAAAAATTGTACAGAAAAAAAATTTAAGCATGTTTCAGAATCATAGTAAAATAGGTCAATTCGAAAACCGTTTTTTAAGAAAATTGAATAGAAAAACGAAAAACAAGGTTTTTGTTTTCCAAAATTGCGCTAAAAACTCCGAAAACTATCTTTTCTTGAGTAAAACTAAGTCCTAACTGCTTAAATTAAGCTTAAATAAGCTATTGCAATGACTAACTACCTTACTATTTACCTCGAAATTAGACCAAACATCAAAAATTTCAACAGGTTTTTCTCAACACTGTGAATAAAATTTTGAAATTTTTTAATGCCGTCCGAATCACAACTGAAAGGGCTTCAATATGATATATCACTCAACGCAGTCCGATGATTATTTCTGGTACCTGATTTCGCGGGGAAAATAAAAAGAAAAAAACCAAAATGCAAAATGTAACACTTTGAAATGTGCATAGTGCTCGCACTCGGGTGTGTGTATATCTGTATGTGTGCAGGGAAGGGTTTTTCATTTTCCAAAATTTTATAAAAATTTATTTGCTAAAAAGCTTTTTCATAAACCCTAAAGGGCAGCCAGATGATTCAAAACACTCAAAATTGCTTGCATTTGAGTATTCTTGTGTTCGTGCCAACAATTTGAAAATGGGGAAAAATTTTGTACTGTGATCTGTTTTAGTTTTTTCTTTTTCCTTGTGTTCCACGCAAAATCAGCAACCACAAATAATCATTGGAAAGAGTTGAGTGATATATCATTTTAAAGTTCTTTTCAAAAATTTTTCCCGCTGTCGAGAAAACCCGGTTTGAAATTTTTGATTTTTCGTCCAATTTTACTCGACTAAACTTTTGAGTGTTTTTTTGAGTGTTTTTGCACCATTTTGGAAATTAAAACTTCAATTTCAAAAAACTCCAAAAAAATTTTTATCACACCACGCAGAAAAAAAACTACCGTAAATTTGTAACAAAAAATTTGTATTATTTAAGACTAGGTTCGAAACAATCTGTGCTACTTGCATAGTAACCGTCTATCCTGGTTGTGTTTTGCAATGTGTGCTAAGCACTCAATATGTATTTTTTATTTTTCTTTGGATAAAAGTATTGTAATGAAAAATCTTGAGGTTGCAATAACTCATTCTCAAAGAAAACAAAAAACGTACGAGTTGTTCGGCTCTGCGGAGAACCACGGTCGTGCCCTTATTCATAGATGTATGCATTTTTTGATATTTGTTGGGTCAGGTAATGTTACCTCACCATCAAATAACGAGCACGGATCATGATGTGCAGCGAAGCACCGACCTTCCAACTGAGAGGTCGACACCTGTGTCACTTCTCACCCCAGCGAAAAAACTATTTCAATTCTGATTTTACAAAAAAATATACATAAACTATACGTCTGGAACAGGAGCTGGATTTTCAGGGGCCGAGTAGATCCAGAGGATGAAGGTGCTCTGGATGATGGAGATGGCGACTAGAAATATCCATAGAAGGAACACACTTCCCACGATGGGGAAGTAGTCTCCGTTGCTTGGGAAGAAGTCGCCGATGGAGGAGAGGTTGAAGACTAGAGAGAGGAGTATTGTCACTGAGAAGGTCACCTTCTCCCCACTCCCATTGGGCAGAGTGAAGGCGAAGATGGCCATGAATGCGATCAGACTCATCGGGTACAAAACTAGACACACAAGTTAGCAACTCAATTAACATCACCAATGAAAATAGTTATAATCAAAGCTGCAGCTCCAATGTCAAATCGTTATGAAAATTGACAAATAGTTCAATCTGTTAAAGTATTGCAAACGCAGCCTTGTTAAACCACTCGTTACATCATAAAAATGATGCTTGTGAAAGATGGAGTTTCTCAACATTCACCCACTTTTTCTCAACACTTTCCACATCAAAACTCCAGGCTTAGTGCCTCTTAAGTGGAAGAAAGAGCGGAAAGGGATTTCAATCCGGGAGGGTCTCTTCTTACGTATTGTTCTTTATGTATTGTTGAGGGGTGTCTTTACCTGTGTATTCGTAGTATTTAGGTCTTCTCTTGAACACAAAGTTGAAGTGTAGTTCTGTTGAATTCCCTTCCACTAGTCGATGTCGCACATTTCTTCATTAATATCACCATGATGGGTTGATTGATTACAATAACAAACCATCTTATGAAATGAAAAACTTTTACGATATCTTCCAAAGGATTCAACACCACAATTAAGTCTAAGAAAAAGAACGGGTTTTGCGCTTTGACACGCTCACTAACCAGAGAATCGTAAGATTTTGGCATCATTTTAGGACACCCAGTTTTGTTTGACCAAAAAACCCTAAGAATTTCTCATGCGCCAACATAATCCAGATATGAGGGGTGCAATGCCAAGCATTCAGTGCCCAATTCTGCAAAACTTGCTTGTCAGATAAAAAATAATAGCATAAAGTATTACCTAAATTGTCTTTTTGGCGTTTCAGAAGAGCTCAAAAGATATTTTGGTCAACTTAATAGAAGTAAGTTTTTTAAAGTCCCTGTCTTAGATAAATTTCCCCTGGTGGGATTTACCAACAAAGGAAATCATAAGCTGCACCAAATTCGATTGCATAAAGCCAAAAAAGTATGAAAACTATTATGAAATAAAAGAATTTCCATGAATGGTCCGACATATAGTTGCAAATTGGGAGCATCATTTAAAAATGTGAAATAAACTTTTTTTCCTTAAATGTCATCTTTGAAACGGCGTCATGAATACTATATCTGTTTTGATGTCATAGTATTGAAATCAATCAATGCGTCACGTGGCTGTTTGGGTGGCACACATAAGTTCCCACTCTGTGTGTTGTTCCACGTGTTTGGCTGTCAAATAGCGGTACTTTTTTTCAAAGTACTTCCCGAAGTTCTGAAAATACAGCAAATAGAAAAAATCTATTTACGCATGTTTCCAATATATCCTAGATAGCAAACAAAAAGATAAAATATACGATAAAAATATACGAAAACGAAAAGATAATATATACGATAAAAAAATTGTTTGTAATGATCTTTATCAATCATCTCTGCATCAAGTTTCTGCATTCTCAGTATGATTTTCGGCGAAAAATTTTGATAGACAGACAGAATTAATTTGTTTTTCCGATAGAAATACATTCATTGGCAGAAGAAAAAATCATCAGTAAAATACTGATTTATATAATAGCCCTCATTTCTAAAATCTGGTGACTTATTGATCTATCCAGCAGTTTAGAACAAATATGAGACCTCTGCTTGTTTTGCTGCATTGGCGAAGAAGGGCGCATTAATAAGCGTATGAGCAAATTATCATGCGATAATTGTTTTTTTGGGGGTTTATTCAGACGAAAAAGAAAATTGAAAAATCATTCATTTGTTATTAAAAAAATCTGTTTCATTGTTGATTTTTTATATAGCTGCCCGCATCCAAGTTTAGGCGTAACTAATCGATTATAACGGATTATTATGATGATTTTTGACAATTATATTTGATAATAATTACCAAAATTAGGTGTTTAAAGGATTTATAATTGATTATAATCGTGATATTTTCCAAGAAATTATAATATCTTATAATCGAATATAATTGATTATAGTTCTTAGAAAAACCCTTAGAATCAATTATAATCGATTCAAATTGATTTTAATCGATAATAATCTCTTATTTTGCCAAAGTTTTGTCAATTCAAATTTATATCTGAATAATGACTTATGGGTTATTATTTTTGTGAAAATAAAAAAATCTCTAAAAAAGAGATCTCTTGAACATTTTGGTTCATCTGAACACAAAGTTTTACCATGAAACAAAAGTTTCATAGAGATCCTTTCATATGAGTGGAAAAATTCCCGCGGTAAATGAAAAATAAATCTTCCGAATCAATCATGAAACTAAATCAATTTGCTGATATTTTGGTGTTTAAAAAATATGCATCATAAGACAACTCTAATGGGGAAGAATTGAAAAAAAACTTATAAATTTGAAATACTTGAAAAACTTTTAAAATATTTTTCTCATTTTTTCATAGGAACCAACGTCTACAAGAACACAAAAAACATAAGCAATTTACATGCACCTTCGAAGTTAAAATGGACAAACAAAAGGGGAATATAATCAATTATAATCGATTATAATGGATTTTTGTGTAAAACTAAAGAATCAGAAATTTGAATAAAAATAATGGACTCAATTATAATCAACTATAATTGTATCGAAAAATAGACGAATAAATAATCGATTATAATCGATTATAATGGATTATAAGTGATTATAATTTGGTTTTAAAAAGAGTGATTATAATCATATTTTAATTGACTAAAATCCATTGTTTTTCAATTTTAGTAAGACTGGTACTAAAATAGTAATGTAATCGATTATTAACACTTGAAACTGGATGCGGGTGGCGACGTGACCGCAGTGTAAAACTGCAAACTTGAGTCGACAAAATGCAAAGAAGCGAGCGAGTCATTGAGACGCTAACCGAACCATATGTTATTAGGCAGACATAAGGAAACGCATTTGAAAAAAGTTTTTGCACACATTAATGCGTGCAAATTGATTTTGTTTTAGCTGGATGGGCAGACCGTTGAACAGATCATTGAAAAATTGATTCAACTCTATCAAAGACACGAAACATACTGATCAAACATTTTTTCAGCTCCTATTTTTGCGTCTAGACTTTTCACTCGAAACTAACTGGCACGAGAAAATAGTCAAACTGCCGTAAACTTCAGCTAGACATCAAGTGAGAGCTGGTCTTTGCAAAGTATTGCTGTTATGGCCAACAATCTCAGTGCAATCAAACAAACACCGCGCCTTTTGGTTTTTAAAAAAAAATGGATCTGACTAGAAACTTTCTAGTGAGATTGTGCTAACCATGAGTGTGAAACTAAACGCTGTTGTACTTTGGTCGTATCTGCAGCAGCTTGAATCGAAAAAAAAACAGAAACTTCGCGTACCAGTTAAATTTTTAAAACATAACAATGTTAAACTTGTGAATACTTGAATACTTGTGAATAACTTGTCTTGCTGCATTGACAAAAAAAGGGCAGCAATAAGTATTTGAGCATACTCTTATGCAATACAGGCTTTTTTGATCATTCATTCAGACAAACCATTTTTGCAATTGTGAAAAATCACGATTTGCTATTAGAAAAATTAGTTTCAATTTCGAACTTTCAAATAGTTATCAACTCTCTTTTTTTTTACGTGATCTTAACCGAACAACATGCTATAAGGCAGACACACGTACCAATGCCCGCACATGGATTTTTTCAGCTGTTTGGGCAGAACGATAAAAATATCATTGAATTTTTTTCGACTTTTTTTTTCATTTTTTTTCAAAAGCAAAGCACAATATATATGTTAACCTTTCAAAGAACATTTTTGTGATCATATTAACTTTTTTCGGATATTAGCTTGAGTGATGTAAAAAAAACCATTAGAATATAGACAAAATCTTGAAGATTGGAAGTCAGAGCTCAAAAACAAAGAAATAATTGATTAATTACATTTCAAATTTTATCCCAATATAAACGACGAGAAAAAAATAGTATCTCCTTGCATTGCTCAAATTTCTCTGGAAAAGCCAAAACTTTTCCTATCCTCGCAAGAAATTCTTGTCATGACTGGAAATCGAATTCAAAATCTGATAACCTCAGTGCAATCAAATTCAAAATGCGCTAAGTGTTTTTCATTTTTCCAGCTAAGTGCATTTGACTAGTGTAATTAATCGTCTAGTAAACTTGACTTAACCTATGAGTGTAAAACACACTTTTGTGTATAATTGTCCTATCTGCATCAATTTGAGCCGGAAAAATACAAAAACTTTCCGTACCTATTAGGTTTTCAGAAAAACATCTAATAAAGTTTCTTCGCTGATTTCAAAAGAACCATGGTAAATTTGTTATTATAAAAATCAGTTTCTCATTAGACTTTCTATATCGTTAGCGCTGTGCCCACAGTGTGAAACTGCAATTTTGAGTCAACCAAATAAGAAGAAGCGAGCTAGTCACCTCCATTCTTTTACGTCGAGCTGTTTTCCGAACGACATTCTATTAGGCAGACACAAGCAAACGCAAAGTTTTAAAGCAATTTTTTTGGCACAATTTTCCAAAAAGTGCGTAACAAGGAATTTGGCATGTTTTTGCAAAATTTTGCCTGCAGCGCTGCAAATTTGACCAAAACAGGGTCTTTTTAATGCTCTGGGGAGCTGGAAAAATCAATTTGGTCGACCTAAAAAAAAAGTCGACAATTTTTTTTTGAATTTTATTCAAAATCCCCCCCTCGAGAAAATCCTAGATCCGCCCCTGGCTGAGTGTCATCAAAGGTCTGTCTTGACATATTATTTCATGGTATTCGAAACCGATCCATTTTTGTCTTTGAAGCTGTAATTTTTCTGCAAATCTAGGCCTTTTTTGTGTCCAGAACTTTCACTTGATAACAAACTGGCAGTCGAAATTAGTCAAACTGTCAAAAAATTGAGCTAAAAATTGGTTGAGAGCTCTTCTTTCAAAGCATTGCTGTCATGGCTAGAAACAGAGTTCAAAATCTGACAATCTCAGTGCAACCAAAATGATACTGCGATAAGTGCTTGAGTCGGAAAAAAAACACTTTCCCCACCAATTAAATTTTCAGAGAAACATTTAAAACAATTTTTTGGCGAATTTCAAAAGAAAGATGTTAAACTTGATCTTGCAAAACTTAACCATGACGTTGGCAAAAAATAGTTGAAAAAGGTGTTTTTTGCAATGAAACAGATGCTTTTAAACATAAGGTTGTGATTGTGAATGTGACTTAAAATTTATCAGCAGCAATTCAAAAGGTTCAGTTCTGCCTATTTTGCTCAATTACAGAAACATATATGATGTGTCTTCGGCAACTTCGTACTCTTTTGTTTTCAGTCGGTTGATTTCCTGAGTGCTCAAGCATCTCCTGCAATTACTCATTTTTGCTTACCTATTTAATTTAAACAGATTGCAGTCTGAGAATGGGCTTCTATTTTTTTCTATGGTACTCATTACTTTCCTAAGCGTTCAAATCCTTGTCTAAAAGTATATTTTAGTAGCCAATTTTTGTCTTTCGAAACCAGGCAATAGTCTGGTCATTTTCCAGCATTTGATATATATGGTCTATTGCCCCAAAAAGAACTAATGCTTTCTTCCGGTCGTTCAGCTGTCATACACTTTTACGAGCACTAATTCAATAGTACTAGCGATCCAGTGCAAAATTTTCTGCATTCAAAATGATCTCAATCATGCTCAAGCAATTGAGTTTCATTTGACTCAAACATCAACTGCTGCAACACTTGACTAAATTTTTTTGTTCTATTTTTCTTGAATTAAATGAAATGAATTTCTATATGAGCTTGTCCTTCTATTCCTTCTGATCATCCATAACAATCTTTTAACTCCTTAAGGTTGAAAATTTTTTAAAGTTAATTTGTAGTAGCAAAACTTCATTGGTAGACTAAATCTGTCACAATTTTGGTTTCAGCAATGGATAATAATTGTAGCCTAATGTCCCCAAGAAGACCCATTAAAATATTACAAGTCATTAAACCCATCTTGAAATCTGGACGAAGAATTTTTGGTAAAGCCATGTTACTTGCCCCCAGTTTGATGTATCGCAAACTACCTTCGCAGCTCTATTTTTGCAGATAAAGAAGTAAAAAACTATAAACAATTATTTCATCACCAGCATTTCACAAAACTCCGATGGCGAAAATTTGGCTAAACCTCAGATATTTAAATGATATGCATTATGCAGCTTTGTCCTCCATGTTCAAGCAATTGATTTCCATATGGCTCAAACATCTGCAACAATTTCGATTTTTCTTGAACTATTTGAAAATAAAACATGCAACATGAGCTTCTTCTGCTATTTTTTCGACA